TTTCTTTTCCTGGCTCCCTTGCTCGCGGCCACTGCAGAAACGTCACTTGATACCTCACTGCTGCTTCTGTAGTCAGAATCTTCAGTGAGAATACTGAGATCTATGCCAAGGGTTCTTATCATGGCTTGCCAAGAAATGCCAAGTCTTGAGGAAGCAGAGAAGGTCCGCGGGCTCCGGAGTCTGCACTCACGCATGGGAAATGGGAGCCTCTCCTTCGTCTTCACGTTGCGGAATTACGTGTGCTTCATAGCTTAGGTAATCTCCTTCAACATCTGTCAATACTCCTCAAGGAGACGTGCAACTCCTTGAACTTTTAATCTTCCTCTTCATTCTACCTTCACCCTTCAACTCAAAATAATCCTTCTTCCTACTGTCTCCCGTCATCCTAATTCAAGTACTCTCATTCTGGTTCTGGGTCTAGGCATGCCTAAATCTCTGCTTGGTTCATGGTTAAATTATAATCATTTTTATTAACTCCATACTAGGAAGAGATCAGATCAAAAAAGAGATTGAGGCAGAAAAAGCTGTGATGGGTACTAGAGTGGAATCCTAAACTTGACGAACGCCACCCCATGTGTTATTTACTGCCTATTTGAGTACATGGATGAACTTCACTATAAGCATTAAAGTATAAGGCAGCAATGATATACCAAGAGTCCACAAATTTACTGTGGAAACATCTTCATGACCAAAATTCTTTTTCTACATTCATTCTTTTGTCTATTTGTCCTATTTTTAAGACCGTATTAATCAATCTCCAGGAGTTTTCACTAAATGAAGGAATTGTTCATAAATTTAATGTTTTGGGATTAAAAATATTTATAATATTTTCAATTAATGATCCAGATCTAAAATGGGGTTGATTTTAGGGTTTCTTCATATGGAGGTGGGGGCCCTAAAGTGCCAAAACATGGAACAGGGTACAGTTCGGGGTTTTGGATTCGAACGTGAATTCCAGCATTTGGATTCACAGCTGCTTCTGTCCCTGGAAAGAGAAAGACAGAGACCTACGATTATTCAGTCAGCATTAAACAGAAGCACATGAACTGTCTAATAAAATCTGGCATTTCTTGGATCACTGGAGCAACAGAAAATTATTTGTAGCCTTGAGAAAAAAATTACAACTATCTCACTCTCTGCAGTGATAGTGTAGCCCCCATAGCAAGAAAATTTGCTCTCATGAACCGATTAGATCATCATTGACTAACCCATCAAGAAGCATTTACAGTTTAACAGCTGAAACTAGAAGAAATATCCCTTTTGGTAGATCAGAAGACAAGATTCCGGTAAACACTAATGGCTTTTAACTAATGCTCCCATCATGAGAAATGCAAGTCTCACTAGAAACATTCAAATACTACATCTGAACTTTATTATTTTATATTTATGTTCTGTAGACTGCAACTAATGCAGTTAATTAATTTCAACACTTCTCTACGACAAATAGTAAAAATATCAAGTTGTGAAAAGCTTACCATTGAAGTATACACATACATTAAACAAAAGGCATTCTCAAATCTTAAATTTTGAAATCAAAGGTCTTGACTTTAGATTATACACTGTAAGCCATTAAATATCGAAATGAAGCCTTTTCTCCCTCAAATTGATCGCAGTCCAATAGTTCCTTTGGAAATCTCCTATTAGTATTGGCTTGAAAGAATGATTTTGAGTCACACAGGAAATCAATAGTAATATTTTACAGCCATTTATCTACTATATGTTCTCCTTTTATTCACATGGGTCTTTATCTTCCTGGGAATATTTTGACTGTTTCTTGCCAAAACAATAATAACACCCATAAATTCACATTTAAAGAAGAAACTAGGTCCTTAAACTACATCTGGCCCTTTGACTGTTTTTGTGTATTAAGTTTAACTGTAACGCAGTCACGCCTGTTCATTTACTATTGTCTCTGGCTGCTTTTTGTACTATAATTGCAGAGGTGAGTAGTCCCCACAAAGATCATACACCTGCAAAGACAAACATATTTCTTATCTTGCCCTATTTTAATAGAAAAAGTTCACTGACCTCTTGCTTAAAGGATTAAGATTTGATACCATCAATGAGATTCCAAAGAACATGCCACAACTATCAAAACAATCCAAGAGTATTTATACATTAGGCAATAGCTGTATTTCTGGAATTCATGTAGAGATTACTCAAAATTATTACTTTGGAGTAGGAAATATTTATTTAGGATCATGGACTTCCATATATTCGTATTTGTTTTATTTTGTATCTCACTAGTTCACAGGACAAAATATAACAATAGGGATAGAGCTAAATTTAGAATACAAATCTCACTTCCTGGTTCAACACTTTTCTTAAGGGGTTATTTATTTAACTGAATAATCTACTCCTAGGTGATTACACAAATTTTTTATACCTCAGTTTGCTCTTGTGCAATAAAAAGGATAGTATTAGTACCTACATTCATAAAGCAAGGCTAAATGAATGTAAGGTGCTGAAAACAAAATTATGGCACACAATAGTTACCCATTAAAGTGGATTATCACTATTATTAGTAGTGACATTAGTATTAGCATCATTATTATGTATCATGAAGGTACTATGCTAGGACTATGCATGCATTTTCTTGCATGTACAGTATTATTTCTCAAACTATCCTATTTTAATGCTTCAGTAATGATTTAAACATTATCATTATTAATGCTACTGCACAGAGATTACTGAATGAAAAGTTTCTTGAAGTTAGAGCCTTGTACAGTTAGAAAAGTTAGGATGACCCAGGCCGACCTGGAGGGACTTCATTAAACAGAGTCCTATCAGCCAAGAGGACTTGTCTCAGTACTTCCCTCCCTTGTGGATACTGTTAGTGAGCACTGCCCATTTTCCAGGTGAACTGCCCCGGGCGCACTAACACAAAGTCAGAGGTAACTCGGCTATCATTCTACTTGGAGTGGTCCACCAGGTGGACTTGACACAATTATTAGCTCAAATTTATTTCCACCATCACCATTAGTAACACCGTGCTCCAGGCCACATGGTACTGACACATGCTCTTTGCGGTAGGAAAGTTTTATTGTTATCTCCTGACTACAAATTTGCTCATTGCTCTTAAACTTGTTATGAAGCCCACAGGCACTCATTTGAGAAACAGAACTAAGCTCAGAGAGCTTTTGTAAAATCAAACATATGTCACCTTTCAATTTTTTTCAAGGCGTGTTTACGTCCAATATCATGTGACTGGGAGGGGAACGGGCATTATTTTGGTCTTTTGACAGATTAAGAAGCTGAGAGAACTCAGTTACATACAGCTGCACCAAGCCTGTGGTTTTGGCAGAGCTGTTGGTGAAGATATTATTAGTGTGTTGTTTAATTCTGTAAAACCAATACACTTACTGCTGAGCGTTTATAGTCAGCATTCAGATCCCCGAGGTCATGAAGAATCACTCCAGTGGACTTAGCCCTTTTCCCCTCTTTCTGCTCATTTCCCTTCTCTATCACGTTCTCTCTTTCTCTTATGTGGGGGTGGCTTAGACTGCCTGAATTTGAGTCACCATTCTACCGCCTACTCTGTTGCTCAATCCCTGTGTGCCTTTGTTCCCTTACCTTTAATGCTCAGAATGATACTGAGCCCCTCATGGAGTTGTAGGGAAGAATAAGTGAGATTAGAGATGCCAAGTGTTAGCACAGAGCACGACGCATGGGAAATGCTCAGCCCATGTGACCCGTTATTGTTATCATGCCCTTCCATGACCGTGTGTGAAGGAAATACTCCCTCATTCCTTCTCTCAAATGCGTCCCAGCATATTTACATGTAAGACATGAAGCATGGGAAAATGAAGTTTCCAAAAGGATGCTGAAATGAGACAGGATCCTGGGAAAGGGGAGGGGAGATGGGAGCAGAGAGTGTAAGGGTCAGCTTCTAGTCTGTCTCTGTCTAGTCCTCCTGCCCCTCCCCAGGTCAGAGCACTCCCATTTAATCATTGCTGGAAGACTAGTATTTCCATTTGCCCTGAAATAAGAAGAAGGTAAGATTATTTCTGAAATTGCAGAAGAAATGGGGTCAGGGAGATTGGATAGTTGAAAGGCAGCATTATCAGGGAGACGAGCCGGAGGAGAAGCTAAGCACAGATGAGAGTCCCAGGAGGGGTGTGTCTGCAGCTCCCACCTCACCGTCCTCTCAGGAACGGCATGGCACCTGCGCTGCCTTGTCAGAGACCCAGCTCTGATACACGCGAGGTAGAATGGGAAGGATTCAATGTCGATTTTATAACAGCTTAGTATATTTTGTTTTAAAATATAAGCAGATAATAGTAGGAATCCCTCATCTGAGCCCTTAAATCCTCTTTTCTAATGAACACTAGGTTGTTTTTCTGCTTCAGCCCTTCTTTCTTCTCTCACCTGCCAAACACCAAACTTTCCTCTTCATTATCTTTAAACCTTTTACTTCTTCATAAATAAGGGCTTTTATTCAGCTTCACAACCTTATTTCCAATGAAAACCTATCTTCATCCATATTTTCAGTGAATTTGGAAAAAACTTGTTTTTAATAAACTTTAAAACTCCATTGTCACTACTTATTTTTAATGCAAATTTTAAAAAAAATAAAGCCATTAACCTAACAAATCTCAAACTTTTTGTTATACTTTTATTTTGAACAACTTTATTGTGGTATGGTTCCTGTACAGTAAACTTGTTTTATTTTTTAAAAATCACTTGTAGTTTCTACCTATTGAGCCTGTAATAGTCCCATGGGGGTATCAGAGGGATGAATTCTCCTTTTTCTGAGGCATAAAGAGCTTCATCATGACGTGCTATGATATGGAGACTTAGATCCTATAAAGAGGAAATGTCCTATCTTCCCCTTTGTGCCCAAGGGGTGGCAGGGAGTCCAGAAACTCTATTTCACATCCTACTTTGTCACTAGTATTTTTCAAAGGCGCTCCCATTTTCCTCTCCTGCTTCTGTACAGTGGCTGAAAGGAAGACTTAGAAGTGCAACCCCGCATAACCTGCAGGGTGGACGGATGAACCCAGACTTCGCAGGCTGTGGAGGTAGAAGCTGTGGTTTTGACCCTTACCTCTCTCTGCAGCCATAAAAAGATCCCACAGTAGTTCCTTCCTTTTGGAGAGTACCTCCTTTATGAAAATATTAAGTAGGGAGGATCATTTGTCTGGAGAAGGGAAGGTGTAATGAAAATCCAGTGGGAAAAGGAAATTCAGTGTGGGTCTGGGTTTCAGACTCCCTTAAATCATTGGTTCCCTGGAGTTCACTTCCAGGAATTACTAGTTAAGAAAGGTAACCAGAGATCATAGAGATACCACTTCCTAAATTGCTCTTCCGTGTTTTATTCTGGAGAGGAGAAGCAGGAATGGCAAGAGGCACAACTCTGGGAGCCACACCTACATCAAAGATGATGTGAATAGCTGTTCACCGTCTGGACAGCCACCCTGAGTACCTGTAGGACAGAATGGGAGGTGGGCAGGCAGTGGAATTACCTAACATGTGACCCAGGGTGGGTGAGGATAAAAATCAAGGGGAAGTGGCAACTGAGCTGGCGATCTCTAAGATGGACATCAACAGAAGTGATCTTCATATAGAACTTGAGCTAGGAATGTTCCTGGAGCAAAATAAAAGTCAGAGCTATACTGGTGGGATTAGGAAGGAAAGGATAGCATGAGAAAGGAAATGAGGGGAGGAATGAGGATTCTGGAGCGCAGTCCCTACCACTGAGGAATCACCCAATGGAAATGTCTGGAGGTTTAGGATATAAGGCTGTACTTAGCGTCCAGGGATGAGGTGGCTAAGCCGTGTGTGTGACCTGACTGAATTTTCATTGTTCCCTACCCTCAATTCTGGGCAACTTGTAGTCTATTAGTTGACCTGCAGCAAAGACTTACGGGGTATATTTACCCGGTAGAATGAGAACAGTATATAACTTCCTCAAAGGGAAGTAACAGTCACTTTTCTGAATTGGTATTTAGGAATTAGAGACAATATCTGAGAAGCTTCTGACCTACTGCCTAGTACTTGGTAGATGTGAATTAAATTGTAACTATATATATATATATATATATATATATATATATATATATATATATATATATATATAAAAGTTTCTCTCCATGTGTTGTCTTTTCCTGCCCATAATGACTCTGGAGTAATGTAGGGAATGTGATTCTAATGCCCTTCACTCAGTGCTTTTAGGTGTAGATTATTGAAGTACTATGTCAGTTTTGACCCCCTTTTTTCACACTCACACCTGTTCAGCAAAGTTCAGACGAATTCAAAAGCATCTATGTAAACCACCGCCCAGGAAATACTCACAACATTAGAAAAATGGGGATTTAACTGTGGCACATTAATTGCCTTAAAAGTTAGAATAATATTACTAGTTAGCTTATTTACCTAAAAGTAAATATGCAAATTTTCTAAGATTTGAGGTCGTCTAGTTAAAAATAAAGTCTTCTTCAGAGTGAGAGATGGGCTAGGAAGACTGGTGTGGATTCTTCTCTTTAGAAACTCAAGTTCAGTCGGAAGAAATAAAATTGCATTTATTTATTAAATACTTCTTGTTAAATAAAGAAAAACAGACCAATATGACTATGGTGAGCCCTTTGACTAACATATTTTGTTAGAAGGTCAGTCAGCCTATCTCCCTGTACACGCAATGGAAAGTGTTTTAGATTTTAGGAGAAAAAGCTATTTTTATTGGAGAATTTAATTATCCTTCTCAAAACAACCATTTCTTAAATTGATAATGTGTTTCCCTTTTTCAATAGTCATTTTAAAAAGCCAATAAGGAATATAATCACTAAATCTTAGTACTTAATTTTGACCCTAATGCATTTTAGTTTATTTTTACCTGCTTCTCATTTAGCTGTTAGTTTTTCCAGGATATATCCTGCTCTATCTGTTGAAAATCTTGTGCTGATCCAAGTCTCTGAAGGGCAGCTGTTAATCTCTACCAAGTTCTCTCGGGGGGACTGTGGTTTACAACCCAGTGCCTTAGAGGAAAAGTCTTACAGTAAATGGTCTCTGGATGAGGGCACTGCTTAACACAAAGAAATAAACTATCAATTATCACCTCCCAGAAATCAATAAATGATCATTTTTCTACTCACAGCTGAGGCTGGCAATTACAAATAACTCAAGATCACGATTTCCTCCATTTCTTACCTCTTAATGCGGACTGGAAAATAATAGGAGAGGCATGGTTTGGGGGATGGGGGTCGGGAGCAGGCAGAATCAGGATGCTGCCAATGTGTCTCGGGAGAAAGGACATGAGTACTGATACCCTCCTGCCCGATCCCCAGTATTTCAGGCTCTGCACTGGCAGCGGACAATCGGGAAAATGTTGTCCAATATTACTGCAGGTAAGTGAAACATGGACAGCTTAGTAAATGAGACTATGAACACAGGGTAGGTTAGGCAGATATCAAAAGCCTAAAGATGCTCTTTTGTACCTTAAATATTACCATTCACTTGCAGTGGCCAGCCCTGCGTATCTCTTCTCTTCTGTTATTGACTGAGCAACATGTTTAGGTTGTATCCCCACACTCAACTATGAGTCACTTCCCCAGGACACCTTTTCTTCTTTTGGGGTCTTCTGTCTTCTGAAGCTTTCTCACGTAGACTCTCTTCCTAATGAATGCCTTTGAGTCTTTAATAAACTATGTCTTAGTTTATGTTCACACATCTGCTTTTCATAGGTTAGCTTTTCAGTTCACCCAAAACTCTAAGGTTTCCAAAGAGGAAGTCCAGAAATGTGCAGACAGCTTACCGTTCACAGGGTCCAAGTCTCCAACAGCAAAAACAGCCATGGTGCGTCTTGCGGAACCATTTTGGGGTGGCCTCAGCCAGCACTGGAGGCAGAAGAACACGACTCCACAGAAAAGGGTGACCAGGAAAACCAGCAGCAAAAACCTGATGCCAGAAGAAGCAGGGAGGAGAGAGGTGGAGCATGCTGGAAAGTCAAGAGCTCATGCTACTTCCTGGAAAGGGCAAAAAGTCAGCAAGCCTGGCTAAAAGCAGTCTGGGAGGTCGAATTCCTTAAGCAATCCCCCGCCACTACTCATACATTTTCACTGACTCTGGAATGTTCACTGGGCTCGGAGTGGGTCAATCTTGCCAGGCAATCTTCTTTCCTCTTTAGAAATTGAAGAGTTGTTCAAAGGAGCAGCAGCTCGGTTCCTTAACTCATTTATCCATTATTCCTTTCATTCAGCCTTCTATTCATTCATTCAGCTAGTATTTAAGTGACTAAATAGATTTAAATGTTGGACTGGGGATTCGAAGGTTGACAAGACTTCTCTGTCTTCGAGGAGTTAACCATCTAACTGAGAAAACTTGTCATGTTTAGTTTGCAAAATACAGAAGCCAAGATTTAAGAAGTTATGACAACTTTTTTCTTTGTGTTAATTTGAATGGCTTTTAAAGCCAGAACTTAAACCAGTGGAGGAGTTGTTTGGGGAGATTTCAAGGAAAAGTGCAGTTATTTTACCTTCAAAAATCTCTGACTTGGGAATTAACTATTATTCTTAAAAACAGGAAGTTCCCTGTCCAGGAAGTGTTTAAGTAAACACTGGCCAACCATCTGAAAGTGACGATTTTACGTATGTTGATACACATGATCCTTAAAAATTTCTTCAGCTGTATCATTTCATATGCTACCTCAATTGTTTAGGGAAAAGTGTGTGTCTGTACCACCAAAAATTTTATAACACAAACTGAGGATGTCCTTACCAGATATACCAGCCATTTGTGTATTGATCTTTGTAGCTTGTGCACCTGTTGATAAAGGAAACACAGTTAGTGCTGGACCTCTGGATGGACAAGGCCTTTTCTTCAGGACCATAATATTTGTTCTGACCACACTTGTTTCCCCGACAGTCACCTACTCCCTGCATCCCCTCAAGACAATTAAGCAAATATTTACTGTGTGTCTACTTCATTCAAGGTACCAAGAATACAGGTAAATGTGAAAATGTCAGATACATAAACAGATAATTGCACCATCATAGATTTGATTCTAGAGTTATGAATACTGTTGTGCATTGAGGAGGTGGTGACTAACTTTGCAGGGCTAACATGTCATAGGTATCATATATTAGGCAGGTAACCATCCCAGAATTCTGTTTATGCAATCTCTCAAGGGAAAGTTCATAATCTCTATTACCTGTTATTACCTTGGTAAGAAAGAGAAGGCCTGTAATCTGGTTGGAAAAATAAATTAAAATAAAAGGAAAATGAGCGTGTGTGGTCACACGTATCATTCACCAAGGAGTTAGAAGTTGATCTTCCATTAGGGTGGCCAAACCATTTGTGTATCTAAGCACAACTCAATCATTCCTGAGTTTAGTTTAAAAAGATGACACAGAAAATTCACAGTGTAATTTTCAGGAGATTTAACTACCCAGAGGTAGAAATTTAAGTGCTACTCACTCCAGAGCCCCTTCACTATGGCAGACACACGCACTAAGTGTACATTTGCAGATGCACTTTTCCCACACCTTGGTGTATGGGCTGCCAATAAAGTAGACTGGGATTAAGCAGCGGAAAACTGTTCATCACAGCCTGACAAGGTTTTGAGATGGGACTGTACTTAATCATGTCTTCTTCAGCCATTGTTAAAATAACACTCAGTACTTTTCAGCTTGAAAGCATTTATAAATGTCAACTAATTTATTGCTCCCAGCATCTCTAAGGAGGCAGTGTGTCATGTTTATCATTATACTAGTCAGAAGTGACTTTTTAACATATGTGAAGTGTCAACTTAAAAATTTTACCTCAAACGCTAAAGACAAAATTCAATCACCCAGACTACAAGCTTTTTGTGTGTGTATGCGTAGGTTTTTTTGCTTTTACTATGCACCTAGAGGGTTTAGCTAAGTACGTAAGCACAAATAAATGCCTGGGGGGAAATGACAGCTGAAGGATGAGCTTAAAAAGCATCCTAAGACAAATGATTATTAATAAAGGATTTGCAAAGTAATTAATGGCAAATTTTTATAAAGAAATATTTTATTCATGAATCAAAGAGAAGGTAGGTTTATATTTACAATTAAAGCCTTGTTAAGTAAAATAATACAGAGAGATCAATTCTATTTCATGTATTTTCTTTTATACAAATACAAGTTCACCAAATAGATGTTATATAGTTAGTATGTATACGCATGCACCAAATTACTAGCAATGCTTTCTTCTCTTGAAGATGGCATTCTGAGGCTTTTTATCTTTTCAATATTTTGATATTGTTTGAATTTTTATAATGTGCATGAATTACTTTTGTAGTCGTAAGATTTTTAAATAGTATATTAAAAATATAAAAAATCTTTTAAATGTAGTATCCCACTTTAAAGATCGATTTTCAAATAGAATTTTTCAAGTCCTTAAAAAGAATCAAAATAGTCTCTGAACAATAACAATATTCTAAATACTCAAATTGTAGATGAAAG